ACTGCTGACTCTGCAAAATGAAAGGTAAAATGCATTTGCTGCATCTGACAGGTGTTCGGCAAGGTGGAGATCATAAGAATCAAAAATATTTTGAATGCATCTTCTGACAACCAGGCTGTTTAGAAAAACGCAGAACCAGTTGCTATTACAGAGATTCATAGATTGTAGAGTCAGAAGGGACCCTGAAGGATCATCGTGCCCGACCTCCTGCCCCAGGCAGGAAAGAGGACCGAGGTCAGACGACCCCAGCCAGGTGCCTAGCTAGCCTCCTCTTGAAGACCTCCAAGCCAGGTGATAGCACCACCTGTCTTGGCAGCCCGTTCCAGATTCGGGCCACCCTTACTGTGAAAAATTGTTTCCTAATGTCTAACCTGAATCTACTCTCCATTAGTTTGTACCCATTATTCCTAATTATTCCTAGGGGTGCCCTGGTTAATAGCTCATCTCCAATTCTCTGTTGTCCTCCCTTGGTAAACTTCTAGGCTGCTACAAGGTCTCCTCTCAGACGTCTCTTGTGAAGAGATGCTTTGGGGTTGTCCCATGTACCTTTGAACAGCTCAGGACCTAGACAGCTGATGACTCAGGACCTCAGAGATGACTTTACTGAATTACCCGGAGCATAAAAGCTGGTGTAAGCAAGGGAAGAATCAGACCCTCTACATACAGTTCGAGAAACTTGACCCTGGTTCTCAGTTGCACTATGGCCGTCTTACATTACTCTTCTTTACACACACCTTAAAGCCCTCTGACCTTGTTAGAGTCACGTAATGTGGCCCCAGGGAAAATCAGGCCTTATCTGAATCCTTAGGCTGAAATTTTGGACTTGAACGTTCCTGCCCATTAGCCAGCTTTGAAAATCTCAGCTTTCATTTTCATGGGGAAAAACAGCTCATGGTGACCACTGTCATTTCACCTTGTCAATGAAAGACGCAAACTTGTTGTTGAGGGTCTTGATCTGCTCCTTCTCCTGGTATTTCACAGACTGAAGATTAGGGTCAAACTCCAGCTTGAGAGGATGGAGCAGCTGTTCGTTGATGGTGACCGGTGCAATCGGTGGACAAGGACCAGAGAATCCACCAGCTCCGTACCCAAAGCTGGCAGCGCCATAGCCATATCCCAGACCGTACCCATATCCATATCTAAGAGGAGGACAGCTCCCAACAGCCATTCTGGGTTTGCAGGACGCTATACCACCAAGGCTTCGGCTACCAAAGTATCCTAGCCCTCTGTAGCCCACACCACCGCCGTGGCAGGAGATGGTGCTAACTCTGTATCTCTTCACATTCCTTGGGATGACAGCTGAGGAAGAGCTGAAACCCCTCATGCCACCGCCGCTGGAGCTAATGCGGTAGGATCGGCAAGACATGGCCGCTGGAGTGAAGGCAAAGGCAACGCTGGAAAGCTCGAGCAGAGAGCAAAAATGACCCGGGTGAGTCTCCCTCTAACACAAGAATGGAAACGTTCCCCTTTTTATCTGCTAGGTGAACGGGCTTCAGCTGCATCATCAACCCCAAAGCCCATTTGTGATGATGTTTATGAGCTTGGGGTGTTTGGTAACCATCCCATTTACACGTTTTGCTGAGTAGTGACTTGAGATGCTCTTAAACGCGTATCACGTTACATTGGAGGCCCATTTCATTGAAGGGAAAGCCAGCCCCATAAAAACTGCATTGGCAAGCCTCCTTTTTTTTTATAGTTAAGGATTAAAGAGAAAAGCAAAGCTGGTCTTTTGATGTGTGTAGCATCATGTGAAGTAGCAAAGGGACAGCGGGCTCCTTTTACATGTGGGAAAAAAAAGGTCTCTTGTGAAGCAGCTTGCTTATGCCTGAGAACACCCAAGGTCCTCTGTTGTGTGGTTTGATCCAGAGCTCTGTTACACCAGTGGAGGTAAGCTCCTAAACCTGGAGTTTACCTCTATATGTGGGCCTGATACTCCTTGTTTGCTCTGCCTTGTTACACAACACAGCTCATAGGACTGAAGATGGACCTGCCCGACTGCTAGACAATCACTGACCATTGATGGTGAATCGTGAACGAGTTGCAAGAAAGAGGCAAACTGAATGTGAGAGGGACATTTGCCCATCGGATGTTCATTGGGAAACTGAGACCAAAATCTTCCACCCAAAATGTGATAGAAATGTGGTTGTTTTTTCCCAAATTAACATTGCATCCCCTTCTTCTTAATAAAGTTGTCCTTTGTTTTATACTCAGTGCCTGTTAGGAAGCTAACATTGCTGGGTGGGAACACCCCAGGAGTTATGGAGTTTTTCCGAGTTTCTGGGTAGGAGCATGAGACAGTGGCATTATAATTATAAGAGGTCTTATATTTGAACCACACCCTAAGAGCTTCCTGCAACACTTGAAAGAAGGAGTACATTTTGGTGTGAGATGAATCAAGCCTATCGATTGCTTTTTTTATGGATTTAAAAAAAAAAAAAGATCTTTAAAAGATCTTTGGCAAATTAATTCTCGAATACTTCTTGCGCTTGGGATTGCTTGGGTTCAAGGGGAGGTGGATTTTAAAGCACCGGAGAACAAGTACATTTGGGAAAGTTTTCATAGGATTTTTTTTTTCTTTGATCTTTCTTTTCTTGTTGACTGGGACAGATTCTCAGCTGGGAAAAAAACCCTGCAAATCCAACTTCACCCCAGTTGCACTGATTCGCACCAGCTGAGAATTTGGTTGCAAAAGTCAGAGACCTTTTCCATTCGTGCACGAGGAATAGAAGAGGGAATGGGCTGCACTGGAAACAAAAGGATCTGGCAAGACCTGCAACCTGCAGCCATGCTCTACCGCCCAGTATTTGGGATGGGGTGGAGGATAAAGTCAAGGAGAATTGCTTTGCTGTAACAGTTGTTCAGCTGTTTCTGGCTTGGTTGTGGGATTCCTTCTAGGACCAGTGAGTAGCTTCCTCATTCGACTGCATCTTGGGGATCTAAATGTGGACCCGGGACATAAATACTAAAACCGGGTTGAAAAACTTGTGATTTTCATTTTTTAATTTTTTTGGTTTTATGTATCACGTGTTGTATTGTAACAGAGACATCCCAAACCAGAAGTTGTTTCAAAAGAAAAAGCACTGAGAAGTTGTGTTGAATGTCAAAATAGGATGTTTTGTCAAGGAACATTTGTCCTCCGTTATTTCCCCCTCAACAGCGTTTCATGGAAAATCAGAGTGAAGAAGGAAGGATAGAGATACACCTGATAGACTAACCAAATCAGAGATGCAGAGGCTTTCATGAGCAAGAGCTCACTTCATCACGTGCCATCAGCAGAGCTTTTGCAGATTATGGATAAGTCCATGATCTTCACAGCTATGATGTTATGGACTCTTGTAGGACCCTGCAGAGCTCCTCACTGTAGTCTGCTGGGTAGCAAGGGTTTAGGTTGTAGCCGTGTTGGTCTAAGGACATAGGCAGACAAGGTTCCTTGGGTGAATGTGATATCTTTTATTAGACCAACCCAATGCATTTAACGAGCCCTGTGTCATTAACTGTATGTTGGCCATTGCAGGTGATAGGTTTTTAAGCCGCAGCCCCTGCAGCTGTTTGTATTTTTTAAACAGAGATAGTACATGTACACTGAGTCCTAACAATAATGCTTTGTTTGCAGGCATGACCGCAAAGAGCTGGAAACTCCCATGCAATATTTGAATTGTAGTATGAGTTTAACTCTACCTCCCCTGCTTTTCCTTTTTTTGCTACGACAATCTAAGGGGCAATGAATGCTGACAATGGTTGAGGGCTGTTCTTATGAGACTTGCTATATATAATTATATATGAGTAAGTATAAATTGCAAAAATAGACGTGAAGGATGGCATTGCACACAGATAGCAGTTTATTAAAAAGTCTCCATGAAATCAAGGTACTTCGGCACAAGCATAAAGGAACAGGGAATTGAGATCATGAGCATCCTGATACATAAAAACACTGACTCCCCTTTTCTTTCTTCACATAGAAACACAAGGCTTTAAGATCATTTACAGATGGTACAGATCTTAACTGTCTCTAGAACATAACATCCATCTGGTTTCTGCCTGTTTTTTACTGGGCATGTAGAAAACATCATTCTTGTGTCATCTCTATTTTTTTTCATGCTCTGAGAACTAACAGTGAATAATAGAGTGGCTTAAAGATGAGATTTGCATGACATAGCCATAAGGTTGGCTGGCCGTTATGCTCCACTGGGTGTAGATATGAATTATAGGTACTTAATGAGCAAGGCATTCTGGTGGTAAAGCAATCTGTAGTGGACACACCAGTTTTCCATTGGGAAATGGAGTCTATGTGGTAAAAGCAAAGAGGAACCAGAAAGAGTGGGAATATGAAAGAAGAGGAAAGCAAGCTAAGAAATATATAAGCTGCCTCTTAAGTGGATGTAACGCACGCACTCTCCAAGCCCAGTGTAGCACTCCAGCTCCCACCCACTAGGAGGGGAGGGTTAGCTGGTTGCTTGACTAATATATATGAAATGCAAGGATGGAAACAGGATCGATGATTATTTAGAGCAGGGGGAAAATACAAAGTAGCATGGAAAGGGCAAAATCCTGCTGTGTTACCCTGGTATAAACCTGCACCTGAAGTTACTCCGCACTTGTACCAGACTAAGTCAGAACAGAATGCGTTCCCAGGAAAACTCCTTGAAAATTGCTGGTTCCTATGACCCAAGTCCTGGAACCACTGAACTCATTAGGTGGAATGGCCAATTATTATTCATACAAAATGGGCTTTCAGCACTTGATTCCCTGGGTGGGGTTTTACCCTTTGCACGGCGCTTTAAATGGAATAGAAAAAGGCATCTCCCACACGCCAATAAATACCAGTGGGTGTGAGAAGTGTCTTCTTTTAATAGCAATAAAACAAATCTAGCTCTTCTGAGACATTTCATAATATCCCCCCAAGCTTCTGCCTTACAGATGTGGTGGGTTGTGAAGCCACTAGGAGGCAGCGTCATATTTCTTCCATTTGGGCGAGGATGAATTTGGCTTTCATTGGGACTTCAGCTCCGGAAGCTCCTTTTGGTCATGCTTTTGGATACAATTTTCATGCTGGAGCTGCTCCCTGCTCCAGAGCTATATCCTCCGACCAGGCTTCTCCCACTGCTGGCGCCGAAGCCACTTTCCCCGACACTAAGCCCGCTGCCGAGGCTGGCCCCTGTCCCCAGGCCGAGGGCAGTCCCTGAGCCGTAGCTGCCTCCGACGGATGAAGAGACCACGGCTGCAAAACAAGAAACAGCAGAGGTTTAGATAGCAAGGAAGCAGCAGCCTGCAAGTCAGAGAAGGAAACTCCTACTCC